AAACCTAACTGAGATTAATGTCTCACTTCAGGTGGGGCGACAGCGGCGATAGAGAGCCGGGCCACTGTTTGCCTTCCAGTCTTGGTTCACCTGCGACTAATCAGGCACTTTTTGCAAGTCCAGGTGAGTTAATAGCTATCGAAAGGGCGAGAATCATGCAATGATTATCCGGCAAAGCCAGGGCCAATTATGTCCGCTGCTAATAATAAAATAAACTGCACGTTTCATTATGCAGAGTGCAGATCAAATGGGATCGGGCTCTGGTAAATCCAATTACCCCAAGTCGTTCTCGGTTATTGTTGCTACATGCTGTGGGTACTTTAATTTTAATTTACCAAGCAGCTGCAAAAAAGCTAAAGAGAAAAGCTGCCGGCACGCAAACCCAAAGCTGTTGAAATTGTGCTAACCTTGGATCCCGAGTTGGTTCTCCCAGTCAGTCTGCTAATTTGAATTAATTTTGTTGTCAACACGTAGTCATATAAGGATGTGAACAGTTAGCAGGCAATCTGAGTCGTAATTGAGAGTCCCGAGGAAGTTGGCAAGCGCGGTGGGAACTTTTGAGCCGTTCAAGTTGGCCAAGAGATGGTATTTTTTGGCAGCGAGTGCAGTCATCGGAAAGTTTAATGGGCGAGAATATCATTACAACCACAAGGGCAGGAAAAACCAATATTACAGCTAGAGAGATAAATATTTTATAGTAAATAGTTTTAGTAGATTCAGAATTTTTAGAACTCTGTTAGTTTCCTAGAAAATTATACGTTCTTAAAGCATTAGAAACCTTGCTCCTGACTTTCCAGCATCACTTTCTCGTTCCGCCCCAAACGAATTCCCATTAAGCTGTTCCCGATCTTGGATCTTGGCCATCAGAGGAGCCAAAACCATTAACGCCTGATACTGCGGTCGAAGATCGGAGGAAACCGCCACCTCCTGGCTCTATCTAGGTTGCCTCGCAACGCCCAAAAATCTCGGCTAGCTCGTTGCGGGCCGCCGTTAAATACAGACTGCAGATTCTATAAATCAGGCGTATTTCTCAACACCTCGTAGAGCGGCCGTAGTGCCAACACTCTCAACCCGCTCATTAAAAACCATTAAGGAAAATATTTCGCTTGGGAAAAATTATGGCGTAAATGATACCCTACCCCGCCCACCAAACACCTACTACCCCCCTTTAGGCCCAGCGACAATAAACGACCTGCGATTCGGCTTAAACGCGTTCTGCGGCTTAACTCGGTTTCTGTGTCATTTTCTTGTCTGCAACTCGGGCTAAGCGTCAAATAAATTTAAGTCTACACCTAAACAGCCTGAGCCAGCCGGCAAGCAAAATAAAATAAAAACTAACTTCAACTGGGAAAACTATGAGGAAAAAACTTTTGCCGTACAGCCCGTTGCGTTGTTGTTCTTTGCCATTTTTTTCGCGGTTTTTGTTTTCATTTTTACTCTCGGCTCTGGGCAGCAAACATTTGCAACAATTTGTTATTGGCCATTTAAGCCGTTTGTTGCCGGCTGTAGTTGCTTTTGGCCGTTGGCTGTTGGCGCACTAGAAATCTGTTGAGTGTTAATGACATTTTTATGTTTTAACGCTTGAAAAGCTGCGACCGGAGCGGCAGTGGCAGGGGCAGGTTGCAAAAAGTCCAATTGAAATTCCCGCACCTGGCCGTGCTCCATTTCTGCGTGGCAGGGAGGTCTGGTTAACATTTGTAGCTGCTTTGAGTTATTGGCCTAGACGGGGCTCATCCATTCCGCGGTCTGCACCTAATGGGGGATTGCTGTTGGCCAGAATGACAGGTGACCTGGTCGACAAAAGGCCACTTTTGCTCTATTAAATTGTTGACAAATCTCCGCAAAAAAATGGGAAAAAGTGCAAACACAATTATGACCATAAACAATAGAGTCTGTTTCAAAGTTGTTAACAAAATCTAATTGCTGAAACTTCATCAATTTATTGGAATATTTCAGAGCAGACATCTCAATCGCTTTACAATTCCCCCTCCAAGCCGAGGCAAACTCAATTCTGTTCAGTTTTGGCCCCAACTTGTGTCAACATTAATTAAATTTTCTGCTCGCATTTGCAAAACTTTTGAGCAGCTAATTGGATTTTGGTTGCTGCATCGCCAACACAAAAAAAAAACAACAACAGAGCTCCACCAGAAGCAGCCGTGGCAGCAGTAGCAACAGCAACAAAAATAAAGCAAATTCGCGTGCAACCGCGGACTAATAACCGCCGAAGCAGAGCCGCCAAAGTCGAATATAAAAATAAAATAAAATAAAAACCAGTCGCCTGCTGCAAGTTTCCTGCCGCTGCTGCTCCTCGACTCCTTCCTTTCGGCTCCTGGGGAAGTTTTCAAGCGAAAAGCTGTGTATAAAAAAGGAAATACTCCTATTAAATGTATTCCTTTGTTTCAGGCTTCACTGGTGCCTGAAATTTCGCCAAATGTTTTCTCTGCCGGTCATTCGGCATTTAATGATTTACGTGGCTGAGGCACAAGGACACTGAAAGAAAAGGGGATCGAATAAGCTACAAATAAGACTACTTCTGCCTCTAAAAACTTGTAACTTTTTCTGACAGTGCTGGCCAAGCAGGTGGCCTCTGTTTGAGGACAAAAATATTTGACTTTGGCTGCAGTGCAACGCGTCGGCGGGTGGATAGAGTCGACCGTGTGGCAATTAACAAGTGCAACGACTCCTTCGCTTCCACATCCTCATTCGCCCGGCTTCCTTGGCAACTTCCGCGCCCCGCCGCCACTTCCTTTGGGCCCCCTCCCCCAGGAACAATGCCCGAAAACCGAAAACGCTCCAACTAATAACACTTAACTGCAGCTCGGGCCTGTGCCAAAAGCCAAGTCTTAATTATGGCAAACAACTTTTTGTTTTAGTTCGCAGCTAAAACGCTTCCTGAAAGACAAAAAGCTGCCAGCTACTGAACTTTGGATGCACTCAGCTGAGCCGGGAGCCGAGCGCCGAGCGCCTCCTCCCTGCGACCTTCCCCGCGAATTTCCCGATTCACCGCCTTCCGGGAAACTGCACTGTGCATGTCGCTACATATCAACAAAAGATGCAGCAACCGACACCAGACTGCAGCAGCCACCTCCGCACCTCCACACACTTGCCGTTTTGGTTTGGTTTTTGACGTTTTCCTTTTTTATTTTTTTCGGTTTCTGCATTTTCGCAGACTTCAGTCAATGCACTCTCTATGACGTCGTCGTCTGACTGCACAAAATGAAAAAGTTTCGCAAAAAAAGTAATGAAATCCAAGGCCCAAAAGAAAAAGCTCGAAACACAAAAAAAAACATGCGTTGTGGGTGACATAGTGGGGACTTTCAAAATATCCTAAAAGGATATAACATTTAAAATTTTTTTATAAGAATTCAAGTAAATTTTTGTTTGTAAAATAAGGAATCTTTAAGAACGAAGATTGTTGAATATCTGATTTTCTACCAAATATAAACATCAAAGTTTTATGTCATATCCTGTTTCTCAATTAAACCAGCCGCTTTCATAGTTTCCAGGGTATCCAGAACAGCAATCCCATAACCAACAAAACAACACAAAAAAGTTGAAAAAATCGCCCGTTGCATTTTCCTTTTTTTTTTGTTTTTGTGGAAAAAAAGCAAAAAACAAGAATGATTATTAACGCCTGTTGGGTATGCCACAGGACGATGTCTGCACCGGCTTCAACTGCAACAGCAGCTTTGGCTGCAGCTACAGCTCCATCTCCAGGTCTACACTGACAGACAAGCTAGCTAGGCTAAAGCCTACCAAAACTCAACCATAAACTAGAGGTCCTTCATTAAACAATGTATAATATTATTTACCTTTTAACGCCAATTTCATAACTAATGAGAAGTTAGAATTTACATGAAGCTAGGTGCCTTGTACAATGCATATTTTAAAAAGTCCTTGCATCCTTGCTTCTTAATTCTGAAGTATTCTATTGAAGTATATTTTTCCCAGTGCTGCTGTTTTGAGATTCCCACTCAGACTCCTCCAGAAGGCAAAGGCAGGAGGCTACTGTGCAAACAGTTTCTGCCGTGTCGTTTTTGTTGTGTTGCTTTTTTGGTGCACTCGCCTGCAGCGGCCTTTGGATGCAAAATGCAACCGGGCAAAAACAACAGCAACAACAAGAACATGTCGCAAATGCAAAGGGTTGAGGGGGTTGCCTGGGGGTAGCCAGAAGTCATGACTGGCAGTTGGATCCGGATCCCTCCCCTCTCGAGGGACACCTCTCCCACTCATTAGGCGCTCGCTGCACTTGTGTCTGCACCGTATCCTGCCAAAGTCGAGATCGGGATTCGGGACTAGGCAGTCGGGAGTGGGGACTAGGGAGCCAGGGGCCTTGCATCCTGGACTACTCCGTCGCCGTCTCAGGCAGTTGCAAATTACGCTCTCAGACTCAATTGTCTTGAGCCTTGGAGACTTGCTGGGGATGCCGGAGGAGAATGGGGACCCGAAACGACAACAATGCCTGCATTTAAACGCAATCTTCGCAATGGCTAGACAGACAGCCTCAGACTCAGGCTCAGACATTTCCCCAAAGGGGCGTAGGCCAGCAGGCTGTGGAGGCGTGGCTAGGTGGCAAAACGTCGCGTCATCGTCGCGTCTGGCACTTGAAATTTTTGTATATGTTCATTAGAATGTTCCTCAGGACGAGGATGGTGCTTGAACGCCCTGAAGTAGGCAACACTTTTGGCACATGCACTTCTCCGACGCATAGGAAATCGCCCAGTGAGGGGTACAGTTGCGAGTGGAAAACGTTAGCTCTGGGAAACATAAATTCTAAATAAAGACATTTATAATAAAGTTTTTCCAATAAAAATGATTTAATTACAGACGTATTTGATTAATTCGATTATTATTCTGATCATTCTTCATACAAAGTATCATATATCATTGGCCTTTTTGATTTAAAAACATCTCAATTCCATTAAATCTTTCCAAACATTCGTTCACTCCACTCCTTTTAATGCAATAAATATTAAATTTAATTTTTTCTTCTATTTCAGAACCTGTCCATGGATTTATGAGGTATGTTCGTAAAGCACTCCCCACACCATACGAATTCAAATAGCATTTAAATCTGTTCACGGGCACAAAAGCCGCTTACGATTAATGCCCGCGGTATAAGCCCGGCCAAAATCAACCTGCATAAAAAATGTACAAAAATGTAGAAAAAAAATTCAAGCCAAATAAAATTATAAACGAATCTATTATGACAAGTGCGTGGGACGTACAAAGTATGTTTTTTCTGGCCGCACCGTTCAGCGTTTTTAAAATATTTTTTATTTGAACAAAAGTCTCGAAATACGGGGGCTGCTGGCTGTCCAAATGACGGTGGAGTGTGTGCTCCGAGCTGGGGGAACCCATCATCATGTCAAACGGCAGCAGCAGACAAGAAAACCTAACGATCAAATTAATAACGCCAACAAAGGAGACCCGATACCTGTGCCTCCGCCACGCCCCTGCCTAAATATTTAAAAAAAAAAGGTTGTCGGATAAGAAACAATAGACCAACAACAGCGACAGCTTTGATTGACAACTATGTTGAAATATCAAATTATAATTTCATAAATAGATGGGAAATAAAAAAAGCTAAGAGGCTTTAAAATCGGGTAATTGCCCGCCCTATTAGGCCTGGGTGTGGATGTGTCTGAAAGATCTCTGCACCAGATTGAAGGTCAATGACAACAAGCCATTCGGCCCATAATTGATTATTAAACTGACATCTAAACAGTATTTAAAGGGTGCGGATACGGGACAAAAATAACGAAATTCATTAACCAATATTGGAGAAACATGTTTAAGTTTCATGCCTCGGATATCGGTTATTAAAAGCGAAGGAATTTTAATTGCCACTGGCCGGTGGCAGCCTTGGAATGGCCCGACTCGTGAACTAGAAAATAAAAACAGCAACTCCAATTGGCTTTGGCATTCACATGCTTCGTTATGGCCATATGAAAGTGCCACATAATTCTCGCTCCCCATCTCTCCGAGGCCCCGGGCTAAAACAATTTTCACACCGCACTAACCTGCAATGGTAATATATATCTGGACGTGTATATCTATCTGAGAGTTGGCTCTTCACCATTTTGGCGAAGCGAAAATGAAAATCCAATCAATGCTGGCCAGCAATATCCATTGCGGTTGCTGTTGTTTGGTGTTTTCGGGGCGTAGTTCTAGTTTAAGATCTCCGAAGTCGTATGTGGGCTGCTGCGATGGAGTTTCCCTCGAAACCCGAAAAGAAAGTTGCCAAGATTTTGGAAATTGCCTACGTGATTTCGGAGAGGACATTTCAATCAATTTTTGAATAGCATACGGGCGTTTATTTATAGCTAATTATTTTCAATCACTTTTAATGTTGTTCTTTGGAGCATTACTACCCATATTGGGTATATTATTCCCGTTCCTTGGTGAAGGGACCAGCTGTTTTAGACCTGCTCTAGCTTAAAGGAAATTAATTTAAGATTAGTTTTCCCTAGCAGCTCCGGAAGCGGCTTCATTTAAGATTTTTACTATATTTTTCCTTTCATAAATCAGAACGTATATAAAATATAGCTTCTGACAGAACCACTCCCCTAAACGGCCGCTCCCACAGGCACAAAGAACACATAACCCACGGTATATGTAGATATATGCTGGATGATGGTGGGCAACCTCTTGGGCTTATAATTATTGCCAAGCAACCCGTTTGCGAGCTGTGCAGAATTTTTAGTTTACGAGCACATAAATGTAATTGGATGCGCAAAAAATATTACAGTATCCAGAGAGGAGTGTGTTTATAAATTTACACATGCACCGAGGCCGCTCTAGCCTGCAATTTGCTGCCAGCTGGCTGCGGCTCCGTGGTGCTCCAGGAGGCTCTTGCGCATGGGCAAAAGCCAAAACGTGTCATCATCGATTACAGGAGCGTATACACACGCACATACATATGTACATACTCCCAAATAGGGTGGTGCGTCGGGGTAAATCGGGAGCTGGAGCTGGAGCTGGAGCTGGGCAAACAAGTGGCTGTTACTATCGTTTTGTGTTATAGTTCCCTGGGCGCGTAACTCAAAGCGACAACACTTGACACTAATTAATACATACGCACCGTCCTGGGCCTCGGCCTGAGCCTGGGTCTGGGTGCTTTTCCCTGGACTCCCCTTTCCGTTTTTCATTTTCCGTTTCGCAGCTGCCACCCACTTGGCTTGTCGTCGCATTTCAATCAAGACCGCGTCAGTCATTCAGTCAGTCATCCAGTCAGTCAGTCTGGGCGAGTCGAGTCGAGATTCTGGTGTGATAAAGTTGTTTGAAAGTGTTGCAGGTTGCACACACAAAGACACAGACACGCATAGTTGAGTGGCTAACTGGCACATTGACTGCAGCAGCAGCACCAGCAGCCCCAGCAACATAAGCAGCAGCAACAACACAAGTTGCAACTTCTAGGATGAGTGTGTGCCATTGTACTGGGCGATGCTTATCAGCTTGTCGACGTCGCGGTCTCCTGCCTCACGCAGCCCCAGTCCCCGTCAGCCAGCCAGCCACGCCCCCTGAGACCCACCGCCCAGTCAGGCGTCGGTTGATAATGTTTACCGTTGCACTTCCTACGCCGATTAAGGTTAGCGCACTTTAAGTTCCAGAGAGACTTGGTGTCGAAAGTGCAATTAAAACTTGGATACCACGAAAGAATATTAAAGACACCTTTACAGATAAATGTGGTACAAACAAAAAATTCTTTTATTTAAAATTCTTTCCTTTTTTTTTTAATTTTATTTCGTATAATAGAAAATTCATAGAAAACTTGCATATATTTCTTTTTTTTTTCTTTTTTTCTTTTTTTTTTTAAATTCTTTCCTTTTTTTTTTAATTTTATTTCGTATAATAGAAAATTCATAGAAAACTTGCATATATTTCTTTTTTTTTTTTATATTTCACATTAAAAACCTATAAGCACCATAGAATTGGTAGCCTCTATCCTAAAACTTAATAAGCTCTTATACGTATACCCTTAGGAAAATATGTATCCCCTCCACTATAAAAAAATAACAAGTAATTTGAACAACATTTCCATTCAGGTTTGCGTTGATTTGACTTTAATTTGAAATTTTACACACCAATAAGACGCTTTTAACTGTCAAATTTCCAAACAAAATATGCAAATTAAATGCGGTAATATTCTGGCATTTCCTCTGTTATTATGGCCAACGTGCCGCTTTTTATTGACCAATTAAAATGCTTGTTTTTCGGGCGAAATGAGGCGGGAAATGATTCATCTAAGTCGAGAGCTGTCTTTCAGGCCATCAAGGAAGGCATATCTCTAGCTTATTTTGGCCCTCTGGCATTTTATTTTTGTATGATTTCTTGACAATGCCCCAGACAATGATCGATGAAGTTGCGCCTTGGACTTTAGCTTTATGGCCGAAATCGAAATCAAAGTCGAGCTCCAAACGAAATCGAAAATAAATTTTCAATTGATAACAAAAGAAAATCGACACAAACTGGCATTAATTTTGGGCTCTTTAGAGCCAACTTTGACACCCAATGCTGAATAAATGCTTAATTAACACTCAATGGCGCGCCTAAAGCGACTTTTCAGAGGGGCCAAGAGGGTCTGGGGGGTCTTTCCTGGTAAATTGCGGCAATTGAAGGCGCAACGAATGCAACTCAAAAGTCTAAAGCACAAATTAAAGGTTTTTTTTGGCAAAAAGTAAACAACGCCAAATTGACATTTTGCCTCTCGACAGGCAGCGAAAAATGTTTATATATTTTGGTTTTTGTTTTTTTATTTTTTGGGGTTTCTTACTTTGGTGGCAAGCCCAGCAGGTCGCCGCCGCAGAGAGTCGCGAATCGAAAATCGAAAATGACAGTTGCAGTTATTTTGTACGCCAATCGTAGAAATCAACAAAAGCCAGAGCCGAGTCACTAAAAATGACTGACTTGCCAGCCAGACTGGCTGACTGACTGACTTTGTTTGGCCAATTGGGCAAGCGAGCGGACGGAAAGTGAAAAGCGGCAAAGGCACCTGAGGGCAAGGAGTTACCGCCAACTTGCAACATTGCATCATACCCCGCAGCCTTTCTGCCTGATCTGCCTTGTATTGGTATTGGTGTAGTATCTGTGTGGGTGCACGAGCAGCAATCGATGATCGGATCGCGTTGAAATCTACTCGCATGTAACGTTTAAATTTGTTGGAAAGTCCACCGATACCAACTGGGCTCTGAGCTGTGGCTTTTCATGCCTCTGCATTTTTTTTGGGGTTTTGGTTTTTTTGGTTGGGTTTTCTCTCTCTGGCGGAGAGCAAACTGGAGTTGCACGATTTTCTTGTAATTTTCCGGCAATTTCCAAGTACGATGGAGCCTCGCCAAGTGCCAGGCCATATAAATCCTCAATGTTTGTTTAATTTCGTGTTTATTTTTTTGTATTTTACTCGCTTGCCTTCCTCTGTTTGTTTTTATTTTGTTTTAATTTGTCCTAAAAAAATAAACTTGCCAGAATGCCGCAGCAACAACAAAAATAACAACAACAACGAAATTTGGCTAATTGTGTGGCGATCATTGCTCATTACGGCTCATTATTTGTTGCGACTTGTAGTTTCGTTTGGGCTACAGGTTCTTGTTCCCAATTTTTTCGAGGGAGGGAAACCCATTTTATTGTCAATGATCTTGTAGCCAGATTAGCATAGATACTGTTTCCCATTCGCGATTAGATGCCCGTGCACGATTTTGTCGGGACAATTGGAATGTATGTAATGCGCTTGTTCCTAACGTGGAACTTAACAACTTGGCAACATAGTTACCAGCAGCCAGCAGCCAGCCATCCAGTAAAAGTTTTCCCTCCGCACCGAACCCATTGGAATGCTCCGATAACTTGGCAAAGTTGCTCTCAAAATCAGGTTTCAATCAGCTTATGAAGGATTTACATTTTTATTCAATAGAAGTTGAGGCAAGTCATCAAATGTATTTTGAACTTAAGAGCTCTATTCATATTTTTTGACAAATAAAAGGAGCATTTGACTAATCCATAGTCAATACAATCAAACAGAGATATGA